ACATGCAGACATGGAAAGTCACTTGCACACTCTGGCCTGTATGCCAAGATGGAGGGGTATTTCTAGAAAGGAAAAGGAAGTTAAAGGAAATGGAAGTTAGAACAATAGAATCTATAATAATAAAAGGATAATATGCTAATTAGACCAGAGATCCTCCTGGACATCATTCCAGCCATTCTAGAGAGTGTGAAGTCATATATCATTTTTTATATATATTTCCCAAATGGCTAATGGTGCTGAATACTTTTTCATGCCCTTACTAACCATTCATAAATATTCTAGGTTGAAATTTTTCATTGAATCCATGGGTTATCTTATTATTATTAAACTAGTGACCTGTTGCAGGAATATTCCTGCAAGACTTCCTGCCTGCCACCTCCCCCAACCCTCCACCTTTCCCACTGTGGCAGGCAGGGTGGGGCGGGACGGGACAGGTGGGGCACACCCTGCTCGTCCCACCTGCCCCACCACACCTGCGGCCACCACCACCACTGTCTCCACCGCGGCCATCACCGCTGCGCACCTCGCCCCACACGCCCGACCCACAGTGCCTGCTGCTGCCGCCTCTGGGGCCACATGTGCCACTGCTGCACACCCGGCCCCACTCTGCCCACCCTACCTGCCGCACCTGCCACCCCTGCTGCCTCCTGACACCACAGCCTCTGTGGCTACGTGCCGCAGCTGCATGCCTCACCCAGCCCCACACACACTGCTAGTGCTTTTCCTCCAGCAGTCGCAGCAGCCTTGCTTTCCACTTTCCCTCCCTCTTCCTTCTATGCTATCTTCAGTCTTCACTCCTCCCTCCCTCTGTGTATCTTTGATGGGTTAATTTGCATAGTCTATCTGATTGGCTGGTGGAAGTGGTTTGTAGGTGTAGTTGAGTGATGGTTAATTTGCATATTACTCTATTACTAGGTAGGATCATAAAAGTTCTATTTATATTATGATTACAAGTTTCTTATCAAACATAGTATTTATAAATATTGTCTTTAATTCACTAGGTTATCTTCACTTTCTTAAAAATGTTTTTGAAAAGCATAGGTTTTTAATTTTTAAAGATGAATTTGTGTTTTTTAAAATCATATATAAGCCATCTTTGCTGAATACAAAGTAAGGAAGATTTTCTCCTGTTTTCTCCTAAAGGATTTATAACTTACAAACAGTCCTATCCTCCTACCTCATCAAATGTACCCTCACAACTACCTAAAAGGCCAGATTCAAAGGTAAAGTTCTCAGACTCTAAGTTCTACATCTAAATGTAGTGACGTGGAGACTACACTTATCCCCCTTCTTTTCTTACTCTGTGGTCACACCTCACTGTGAGGAGCCTCACAATGCTCACTTCCCCTAAGTTGCAAACAGCTGCCTCCTGCTTCTTCTTCACTCATAGGTTCCCACACCAACTGTCTGTTTCCCTGGGAAGACCAAGCCAGGAAAGGAGCTTGTGAAGCTCTGTAAATGGACCTGTGGCCATTTATGTAGGGGATTTCAGTTTTCTGGGTACTTAATGTGGGCTAAGGTGTTCTGTGGGAAAACATCTCCTTGATTCCACTGTCTCCTCCTCAAAGTGAGGCCTTCTAAAGTAAAGGGACCAGAGTTGGGCTCATTGCATGAATCTGAGTGTGGCACTAAGGCTGCCAAATCTTGTGGGGGAGAAAATTAGAGGAGAACTAATGGTCACTGGCCCTAGGAACATGCACACAAGAGGACTTGCTCTTCCATCCAACCTTAGGAACAGAAAAGGGCATCCATAAAAGTAAAGTGGGAAAACAACCTCAGAAGGATTTATTCAGTCTTGGGTCTTGCAAACCTGTGGTATTATTGTATTTCCTCCATTTTCCTGGCTTTTATTCCCCAATCAGATTTCAACCTTTATGCCAACAATTTTATTCATATACCTGTGCTTTAACATAGCTGCCTATGGGTCTCCAAGGCCAATTCAGGGGTAAAGACCTCCTGGCTCCAGGCTCTCTTCACTGGTTACATCCAAAGGCAATGCCTCTAAGTGTTTCATGAACACCAAGACCACTGTGTACTAGCTGTTCCCCTCGTTGTGTGGATGCCTGAAGTTTCCTCCAAGAATAGAGAGCTCCAATACATTAATCTTCACAGTGAGCTAGCTGTGTAGTTTAAGTGGGGCTAGCACCTCTGTTCTATCATGCATGAGCAAGTACTGATAAAGAGGTAGTGCAACGCAGGGAGACATTCAGCTCTGCACTGCCCCATTAATGAGTGTGTGTTTGTGTTGCAATTCCCTTGATACAGGTGAGGCAAATCTGAACTTCATTTACTACTCAGCACCAAAGGCTTCCCCATGACTTAGGGGCAACTCAACAGCAATCTGTCATTTGTCACACACCTTCTTATGTTGTCTTTCTCTGCTTGGCTGAAACTCTGAGCCATGCTCAAGCAACCATTTCAAAGATTGCCATAGACACTAGAACACTGTTGTAGTAGAATCTTAGAGAAGACAGATGCCTCATAGAGGGGGATGGTAACCCAGTGGTTATTTTATTTTTTAGGGGGGAGAGTTTATAAGGAATGCTGACACCAAGCAGCAGGGTATAAACTGGCATACACTGAAAAAATTTGAAGAGGGGGAGAAATTGGAGTTGACCCACATATAGTGAAGTGAAAGGCACTTTCAATGAAGAAGCAATAGATAGCTACTGGTGCCTCAATTTGATCCCTATTAGATGCATCTACTATTATATTGCAGATACAGAGACAGAGAAATACTATTGAACATAAAAGTATAAAAATGAAGAGGAAAGGAATGGGTTGGACCACAGCATCCAAGAAAACAGCTGCCAAAGTCCCATTCACAGCACTGACTTGTATTCTTTTTTTTTTTTTTTTGTCTCAAGCCAGATTTATTTTTAATTCAAATAAAAAATACATTTGACCACATAAGTAAACAAAAATAAAGAAGTAAAGACATGATAAAAAAAAATAATGTAATAATCATATGTAACAAAATGAAATAAAAAACAATAATTTAAAATAGTATTATGACAAGTTTGCATTGAATATTCTCTAGTATAATAAATTTAAATGAGGAGAATACTTTTTCTTTTTCTTTTTTTTTTTTTTTTTTGAATGTTGGTTAGCACTCTGGACTCTGAGTTGTATTCTTTATGGATTCCCAGAAATTCTAGTACTATTGCTCTATAGAACAATCCTGATCAAGCTCTGAAATTCCTAATTATTTCTCTCTTTAGAGTTCTATTCACCACCCATCTTCCTTTCCATTCTTTGTGTCAAAAATACAATAGCCCACGATGTGGAAAGTTCATTTTTGTAAATATTGAGTTTCTAATTACTTATTCACTTAATAAACACTAAGCCCTATGCTGGATATTGGGGTTATCAAGATGAATGGAAAAAGTATGGTTCCTAATATTTTAAGATTTACATTATATCAGGTAGAAGGATAGACAAAAGTAAGCACATAAGCATAATAGAAATATCATCAAATAATGAAAATGACTATGATAATAAAGTAGGCAAGCAATTGCAGTGCGGGTGGCCAGAGAAAGCATCTTTTGAGATAAATTCTTTGAGCTGAGAATTGAATTCTTAGAAGGAGAAAGTCATGTAAAGAACTGGCATGGCTATGGCTGGGATTTGATCTATGAACCAGGAAGTCATGGTTGGATTCCCAGTCAGGGCACGGATTGTAGGCTCTATCCCCAATAGGGGCATTCAGGGCAGCTAATTAATGATTCTCTCTTATCACTGATGTTTCTCCCTTCCTTTCTAAAATCAATAAAAATATATTTTTAAAAAATAATGTTCTCTTACCCTTTGCAACATCATGGATGGACCTGGAAATTATTGTGCCAAGAGAAATAAGCCAGTCATTGAAAGACAAGTATCACATGATCCCATTTATATGTGGAATCTTATGAACAAAATAAATTGATGAACAAAATAAGTCCAGAGCCATGGATGTATGGAACAGATTGACAGATCTCAGATGGGAGACAGGAAGAGATTAACCAAAGAACTTGTATGCATATATGTATAGCCAATGAACAGAGACAATAGTTAGGTGGAGGTCTTGGGTGGAGTGGGAGCTGGGTGGAGTGGGGCAAAGAAGTGGAGGGAATGAAGGACATCTAAAATACTGCCAACAATAAAAAAATAAAATTTATAAAAGAAAAGGGTTCTAGAGATGGGTTACACAAAAAGGTACATGTTCTTTAACACTACTGAACAGTACATTTAAAAATGGCTGAGTTGGTAAGTTTTATCTTATGTCTGTTTTAGCACAATTAAAAAAAATGTTAAAGAAAAATAAAAAAAGTAAAAATAAATGTTAATGTTGAGAGAGAGAGAGAGAGAGAGAGAGAGAGAGAGAGAGAGAGAGAGAGAGAAGCCAAGCCCTTTTTGTCTATTTGCCCATGGGTTAAAATATTAATAATGAGAATTTGTCTTCTGTGCTCAGTCCTCACCCAGTCTCTATCTCCAATGTCTGGCTAACTGTGTACCTGCCACTGCGGCTTCTAACTGTTCTTTTATTTTTTTTTAATATATTTTATTGATTTTTAAAAGAGAGGAAGAGAGAGGGATAGAAAGCTAGAAACATCAATGAGAGAGAAACATCGACCAGCTGCCTCCTGCACACCCCCTACCAGGGATGTGCCTGCAACCAATGTACATGCCTTTGACCTGAATAGAACCTGAGACCTTTCAGTCCGCAGACTGACTCTCTATCCACTGAGCCAATCTGGTTTCTGCTCCTAACTGTTCTTAACTCATTTTCACTTTTCTCTCAGGCCTGTCTCTTGCCTTCTTCCTTTAGATCAGAGGAATTATACACACACACACACACACACACACACACCCCTCCTATATTATATGGGATTTTCAGAACTTGTTCGTTTTATTTTATTCACCACCAACTTTGTTTCATGATGGTGTTGTGTCTTATAGGTGCATCATTTTGTAGGATCTCCTTGGCCTGATCTCAGTGCTTTCAGCTCAGGAGGCTATATTCATTTTGTTAATGGCCGAAACTTCTTGGCCCTTTTCACTCTCTTCACCTTTCTTGGAATTTCTATACTAGTGCAAGAGGATTTTTTTCTTGAACTCCCATGAAGCAGTCTTTTTATTTCCCTTTGTATCTTCTTCACCTAGAAGGGCAACAGGATGACCCCAGAAATTCACTGGATGGGAGGAAGAATATGGAACAGGATAGAAAGGAGGGTTTCATGGGAAGAGGCATAGGCAAATAAAGGGTTTTTTGCCAAACAAGGAACAGGCAGGAGTCTTGGGGAGAGGGAAATCAATAAGAAAGAAAAGGAGGAGCTTGGATGAGGTAGTCTCACCTTGCCACCATCTCTGGACCTGGGTTGATAGGGGTTCTTCCTCTTCTTTCTCCGTTTTGTGGTTGAAGTTGTTTGTTTTGTGCTTGCGGTTGCTTGTTCCATAACTTTTCTACGTTCCTCTGGTTTCCTGGCAACCTTAGCCATGTTGAACCATCCCTGTGGCCCAGAGCTCCTAGCCAAACTGAAAAATATCCCTTGCCAGAACAATGAAGAGCCACACCCTTCAGCTTTGTTTGTTCAGCAAGGCAGTAAATGATTAGAGGGAGGGGCTTAACATGACATCACAAATCACCAGTCTTGGCTCCTCCCTCATGGTGGGGTTGCTAGGGAAACCAAGATATGCTGATTGGGGTTGGAGAGAGTTGGCATTTCCTGAACATTCCCCTAAAGAACTTTCCCAAGGTGGCCTGCTATCCCTTCTCATCATGTGCATACATGGCAGGAAAAATGTTTCCTTCAAGGCCTTCTCTTTAGCCACTCCAGCTCTTTGTTTTATTTTGTTCTTTCCCATCCTTCACCATTACCTAGTATTTTGGATATTTTATCTAAAATCCTTCAAAGATAACATAACTATATTTAAATATCTATGGAGATGCAAATCCTCCCATTTCCCTTCAACAGTTTTCTCTTATGAAACTTGAAGATAGAGTCCCCTTTTGGCTATTACCAGGAAAATTCCCCCTCATATCGTTTTCTCAGCTTCTATGTTGATCACCTCAGTATTCTGTTCTCTTGTCTGAAATTTCTGCTTTTATCAGTAATCAGAATAGTATGGTACTGGCATAAGATTAGACAAGTAGAGCAATGAAATAGGATTGAATGTTTGGAAATACATATCTAAGAATGCTAAGAATGCCAAGAACATTCAATGGGAAATAATAATTATTTTCAACAAATGGTATTGTGAAAACAGGATATCCATACGTAAAAGAATAAATTTGGACCCTTATTCCTCATTATACAGTACTCAGATGAACTCAAAAAAGATCAAAAACCTAAATATAAGAGTTAAAATTATAATAAGAAGAAAGCATAGGCAAAAATCTTCATGATTCTTGAATAGGTGATAGTTTCTTAGGTATAACAGAAAGGATATAAGCACAAAAGAAAAAATTGACAAGTTGACATCAAAATTAAAACTTGTGATTTAACAAACCCTATCAAGAAAGTGAAGAGACAAAACTGAATGTACAGAAGTGAAGGAACAGAATAGGAGGCAAATTTTGTACATCATATGCCTGTAAGTAAAGTTTATCTAGGATATATAAAGAACCACAATTTAAAAAATATTTTTATTGATTTCAGAGAGGAAGAGTAAAATATAAAATCAATAATGAGAGAGAATCATTGATTGGCTTCCTCCTACTACCCCCACTGGGGATTGAGCCTGCAACCCTGGCATGTGCCCTGACCAGGAATCTAACCATGACTTCTTCATTCATAGGTCAGTGCTCAACAACTGAGCCACCATGGCCGAACAAGAACAGCACAATTTAAAAGTGGCCAAAAGACCTGAAAGACACTTCTCTAAAGATATACAAATGGTCAATTAGCACACAAAAAAGATACTCAACATCATTAGCCATTAGGAAAATGCAAATCAAAACCAAAATGATATATAATTTCACACCCACTAGTATAGCAATAATTTAAAAGTTAGATAATAACATGTATTGGTGAGGTTGTGAAAAAATTGGAACCCTCATACCCTGCTTGTGTGAATGTAAAATAGTGTAGCAGTTTGAAAAACAGTTTGACAGTTCCCCCTAAAAGCTAAGCATAGAGTTATAATATGACCGTGGAATTCCACTCCTAAGTATATCTACCCATGAGAAATTCTATATCCACTATATCCACACAAAAACATGTACATGAATGTTCATAGTAGCATTTTTCATAAATTCCAAAGATTGGAAACAACTCAAATGTCCATTAACTGGTAAATGGATAAATAAAATGTGGTATATCCATAGAATGGAATTTTATTTGGCCATAAAAGTGGAATTCTAATACCTGCTGCAACATGTGCTAATTGAAAAAAGCCAATCACAAAGGACTACATGTTATATGTTTCTACTTATATGAAATATCTACATTAGGAAATCTGTAATCACAGAACATATAGTAGTGGTCGCTTAAGGCTGGGCAGGGAACAGGGATATTAGAAGGTGAATATATTACATCTTTGAATTGTACACTATAAATGAATGAATTGTATGCTTTATGAAATATCTCCTATCCTACCTAATAAAAGAGTAATATGCAAATTAACCATCACTCTGCTATACTCAACAGCCACACCCACCAGCCACACCCACCAGCCAATCAGAGTGAGTTTGCAAATTAGCCCCAACCAAAATAGCTGCGACCACAGAAAGCAGGAAAGAGGCTTGGGTTTCCTCAGCAATAGAGGAAACCAAGCTTCTGAAGCCCTGGGGGCCCTAGGCCTCCACTCCAGGCTACAAAGTTTCAATTATAGAAGGTAAACAAATCCAAACAGAAATGGCAGCAGCCATGGAGTGAGCAGGGGGCTTGGTTCTGCTCCAGGCTACAAAGTTTCAGTTGTAGAAGGTAAATAAATTCCAGATACCAGGGCCTCTGTTTGGGTAGCCAAGGGGTGTGGCTGGCCTGCAAACCACCACAGGCCCCTCGCCCAGGCTGCCCCATGCCGCAAGAGAACCCCCAACCTGATCCAGGACACCCTTCAGGGCAAACCAGCTGGCACCAGGCCTCTATCCTATCTAATAAAAGAGTAATATGCAGACTGACCATCACCCACACAAGATTGCTGCCCCTATGTGGTTAAAGATCCTGCCCCTAGGTGGACACAAGATGGCCACCACAAGATGGCCAGCAGGGGAGAGTAGTTGGGAAGGACCAGGCCTGCAAGGGAGGGCAGTCGAGAGGGACCAGGCCTGCAAGGGAGGTCAGTTGGGGGCAATTAACCCTGCAGGGGAGGGCAAGTAGGGGTGACCAGGTCTGCAGAGGAGGGAAGTTGGGGGGAAACAGACTGGCAGGGGAGCAGTTTAGACATCAATAAGGCTGGCATGGGAGTGGTTAGGGGGTGATCAGGCTGGCAGGCAGAAGCAGTTAGGGGCAATCAGGAAGGCAGGCAGGCAAGCAGTTGGGAGCCAGCAATCCTGGATTGTGAGAGGGATGTCTGACAGCAGTCCTGGATTGTGAGAGGGATGTCAACGGGTAGTTGAACATCCTTTGAGGGGTCCCAGATTGGAGAGGGTGCAGGCTGGGCTGAGGGACACTCCCCTACCCTGTGCTTGAATTTTGTGCACCGCTCCTCTAGTTTATATAATAAAAGCCTAGCAACCATTACAGCAGAACAACCATAATGACCAGTCACTATGATGTGCACTGACCACCAGGGGGCAGACGCTCAATGCAGGAGCTGCCCCCTGATGGTCAGTGCGCTCTCACAGGGGGAGCACCCCTCAGCAGGAAGCCTGCCTCACTGCTGGTGAGTGCATTGGCAGTAGTGGGAGCCTCTCCCGCTTCTGTGGCAGCACAAAGGAGCAGCGAGCAGGTGGGTGATAAGGAGTAAGAAATCCAAGATTGCTAGAGAGATGTTGACTGTTGGGGCTCAGGGATTGGGCCTAAACCAGAAGGCAGACATCCCCCGAGGAGTCCCGGACTGCAAGAGGACCCAGTCGGGCTGAGGGACACCCCCTACACCCTCAGTGCAGAAATTTTGTGCACTTGAGCCTTTAGAATGTTAATAAAGCTATTTTAAAAATATGAATAAGAACTGTCCCCATGAAGATTATTTACTATTTACTACTTTATAATTAAACTAGAGGCCCAGTACACCAATTCATGCATGGGTGGGGTCCCTCGGCCTGGCCAGCAATCAGGGCCAATCGGGGGTGGGGGAGGGTTGGCCTGCTGGGAGGAGGGCCGGTGGGCCCCAGCAGCAAGCTAACCACTGGCCAATTCCATGAGGAACTGGGCTACCTCCCCCCTCCTGTCTGGGTCCAGGGTCCTGGTAAACCAGGTTCAGGGCTATCAGGGCCCCAGCAGTTAGCTAACCAATGACTGATTCCACAAGGAATCAGGCTCCCTCCTCCCTCCTGACTAGGTCTGAGGTGCAGATGAAACAGATTTGGTCTGTCAGGGCCTTAGCAGCAATGTCTGTGTCAGTGTGCATCATAGCTACCAGCCAGTCATCTGGTCGTTCCAGTCATTCAGTCATAATGGTCACTTAGGCTTTTATATTTACACTGAGTGGCCAGATTATTATGATCTCTGACTGCATAATATTCTGGCCACTCAGTGTATATCCTATATAATAAAAGGCTAATATGTAAATTCTCCCCTTGATCAGAAGTTCGACCAGCATGCAGGATGGCTAACTACTCATGTCCCCTCCCCCTAGCCAGGCTGGCCAGACCCTACCCATGCATGAATTCATGCACCGGACTATACACACACACACACACACACACACACACACACACACACACTGAGTGGCCAGATTATTATGCGTGCAGAGATCATAATAATCTAGTTACTCTGTGTATAGAAAGTTCTTTATAATCAGTCCTGGCCAGCATTTCTCAGTGGTTAGAGCACCGGCCTATGGACCGGGTTCAATTCCGGTCAAGGTCATGTACCAGGCCCTGGTTGGGGGATGTGCGGGAGGCAACAAATTGATGTATTTCTCTTACATCAATCTTTCTCTCTTTCTCTCTCTCACCCTCCCTTCCTCTCTTCTACTCTCTCTCTAAAGAAAAAATCAATAGAAAAAGTATACTTGGGTGAGGATTAACAGCAACAACAAAAAGTTCTTTACAATCAAAACTTTTGTAAAGAACTCTATCATCCATAAGCTGTGGACTTTAGGTGAATAATTTTCTTCTCTTCCTGACTTTTGTTTCTTCATCTGTAAAATGGGGTTTATAATAGTACCTATCTTATAAGATGATCACCAAGATTAAATTAAATAGTGATTTTCAAACATGAAAATATGATGACCACAAGAATACATCTATGGACTCTTAAGAATTTATCTTGTGGTTTCAAGTTTGATAAACATTGCCATTTTCATTCAAAACAATCACCAATACCAGTGCTGAGCAGACACAGGAGACATGTATCATAGTTCAAGATTATTCAGAATATAGTCATTCATCAAACTCTAAACAGAACTTTTCATACTTACCATCAAGAACTCACTAAGTGGTGTGGCTTAGCAGTTGAGCAACAACCAATGAAACA